TAATTAACGTTGATGTTAATTGTTAATAATTGAAAAATTTGCAGACTTCAGCCTAGTAAGAAGATTACACGATTGCGTCGATGCATTGTTGCCAACTTTTTTCTGTTAATATAAAATTTCATTAGTACTTACTTTTATTAGGAAATAAGCCAACAAATATAGCTAATATCTATAAACAAAGCGTGTTTACGGTTCCGCAATGACGCACAACTATAATGTGTGTGACATGAGTTTTGTTTCTAATTGATAACAGAACACGGATACTCAGAAAAAGAAGCTAACTATTTTGCTGGAACAGAAGACAGATTATCCCACTTTCACTTGCAGCTTCAGTTCATCATTAGACTTTCATAATTCAAAAAATTCTCGTCACAGAAGAAAACGAAAACGTGTAATCTAAATTCTGAAAAACCAAAGACACCTAGAAAACCTAAAAAAGAATGACAAAAACAAATAGTTTCTCTTTTAAAAAAAGCTAGGATTGTCTGGGAGCCTCTTGTAAATTGGAAGTAAGCAGCTTACGATTTACAACAAAACATTAAGTAACAACTTGAAACAAGAAAGATAAAAGCCGAAATGTCATGTTGGCAAAATAACGGTGGCCGAATAAAGTACGGACCGAAGTGAGCATGGCGAACTGTATGGTGCCGAAGTGAGAGCATGTGGCCAAAACGTAGCGCGGCCGAAGCGGTCAAGCAAAACCTGCATCAGACCGGAAACGCTCAACCGCCCAAGTCGGCGACTGCATGCTAACTAGCTGCACTCGATCCAACTGCTTTCAGAACTTTCCTATTGGTCGGTAGAGCTCGATGCGTACTGTATGCGAATACGATACTAACATTATTGTACGTTACTCTACCTAGAGTAGCGGTCAGATAGCAACATGGAAAATATATCGATCGCCTTTATCAAGATTCAGTTTGCCGATTAAAATGCTTTGCGAACTGCATTAGTTCAGATATGCATCCGGGACACGTCGGTGTTTCTTGCATGTGAACTAAACCGTTCAGATCATCTATGAGCCACATTTTGTCCTTTTGTGGCATACCGGGACTTTTCGGACTGCTATGTTGCTGACCGACAACTTGCTGACGACGTTTTGCTGAAGGACATAATGGTTAACCGACAATTCGTACAAGCGGCAATTTTGTGGTCTTCTGCCAACTAATTTGCCAGAAAGTTTTCCGGTTCAGGTGTCCGTGTATTACTCCTTTGCGATGCAAGAAATCTTCTCGTATAGTGATTATTTTACAGTATTTCTCAGCGACCTTGTATTATTTCAGTGCGACCGTATGGACCGCTTAAGATTAAAAATTCTGAGTTTAAGTGGAAATATGGCATTGGCTTGTGCAAGTTTAAAGATCAAAGAGTAATTTGATCTAGCAAGATTTTCATATACAGAATCTGTTGCTACACGGTGCTCTCTAGTTTAGAGTTGGCCTCACCAGGGGTGTGCCATCATTAGCCAAGCCGCCCAGGAATATGATAAAACGTACGTATGGTACTTGTAGTCTTGTAGTATATGATAAATTGAAAATGGAAAGTAACTGCCTTTACTTCATTAGTAGAAACCAAGGCTGCAGTAATCCTCTATAGATTAAAACACTACGTGAAGGAATCCTATGATAACATCATGCTGTTCATTGAGGTGACGCCGTAGCGTTGTTTCCATGACGCGTTCCCGTAGCGAACATAATTCAAGAGTTGCAGTATTACCACAGTAATCATGTTATGCTGTAAGTAGATATGGATGTGTTATTTACAAGCTGAGCACGGATGAATATTGGCTTACGACTAGGTACTGTAAATAAGTGAGTTAGGATGTATTGTTAATAGTAGTCGCAGAATTACGTCGTAGTATTACTGTTTAGTAAACTAGGCTGCGAGATTGACCGAACTGTTGATACAGCTCAGTGCATTGGGCCGCAAGGTGCGACAGTGTCACAATGATCAAGTGAAATACTGCAAGAAACACAGAGGAGAAGCCAAAGCTGTTTCATGTTTGAGCTGATTGAGTAGTACATACAGTGTACTGTGACCGTGGTAACAGACTAGCCCATGTTAGCCCTATGGCATCCATGGTAACAAGCTTTCAAGTGACCACTGGGCTTGAGGCTCTGCATATAGCAAACAACGATTAGTCTTAGATCACCCGCCAGGCCGAGCGGTTCCCAGAACATTTTAAAGCGAGAAAATTGGATGAGTGGGAGCTGAGATCATAGCGAACAAAGAGGAGAGGCAGAAAACCTGCAAGAGATGTATAGTATTCATATAACCAGTTTACGGGATCTACATCCGTACATGAATTTCGTGCCGCATATTAGTTTCGAACTTTCGCCCTAGCTTAATTCCGGCCGCTCAAGAAAACTGAAAATATAATAAATCTGAGGAAACCTAAGAAACATAAGAAACTATAAGAATCCTCAGAAACATAAGGAACCTAAGAGACCTAAGAAACCTAAGAAACCTAAGAAACCTAAGAAACTTAAGAAACCTAAGAAACCTAAGAAACCTAAGAAATCAAGGAATCCGAAGACATCCAAGAAAGCTTAGTAAACAGAACCTAAGATGATTAGGTATTTTGAAACGCCAGGCTCATAATGTTATTTTGTTGCGCATTTACAATTGTTGCATGAATTGTTAGCGAAGCGAGGCCGACAGGCGCGATTTGTCTTTGTCGCTCTGCGTTAGCTCATGTATGTCTATGGAGGCCCATAGCAACAAGTCGTTTTTTGGGGGCTGTCTTGCCCTCTTGAGGCACACAATATTCGCAGTGTCCCTATGTCACTCGCAACGTTGCGACGATTCCGGCGCACTTTATCGCGTCAAAATCGGACCATCCGTTCGCCCGATCATCGTGGTCGTCTGCTTAGCATGTATAAGAGGTTACGGATGTAGATAACTACACTGCTCTGCACGCATACCATTAAAACACGTGTATTACTACATTGGCTTTTCTATTATCGAAAGGCGATTGTTTGTAGTTATATGAATACTATCTAAGTAACAAGGGTCCTCGACACTTTGCCGTTGTACTCAATGTTCTCCCGTTCTACACATCCAATCTGCACGCTCTAAAGTTCTACAGAATCCTCTCAGTGTCGAGAGTAATCCTGCATCTTCAAATTTCTGGAAAGCCCAATCCCTACAGTCCAGTGGTCACTCAAAAGCTTGTTACCATGGTGGCCATTGTCTTAACATGGGCTGTTTGTAAATTCCCAGATTGTTACTATGTGTTATTATATCGAATTGTCATTGAGATTAGCGAACTGCGAATTAGCAAAAATAACAGGTTCTGCTCACGCCTGTTTATTTTGTTCGTGCCTCCTTATTGTAGTAAACATCGTGCCATTATTTAATACATATGCAGTTAACCTTTTTACATGCTCGAAATCCTTAGACAGTATTCATCCGTGCTGGGCTTGTTATATTATTATTTTGACTAGTCTATTACCATTGGTGCCATAGGTGGGCGGCCTTAGGTTGGTATTTATTTTGACATAAATTACTCGGCGTCGTTGATATCTTGGATTTCTCACTCGCGACACCAAAATAGTTAATATCAACTCAGCGCAGTGGTGCAGCGTAAGCGTATACAGAATAATATTAATCGCTCGTGATTATGCTCCAATCTTTCGACAATTTGATCTTAATACTATGAATTCACAACTACGTAAACGTCATCATATTACTTCTCACCTGATGGCTGGCAAATAGCCGAAGCCAATTTTTTTTTGCACTTCGTAGCGGCGTATCCGCGTCGTCGCTATTTAGAAACTGAAGTATTACTGTTCGCACTTATAAGCCACACTTTTTTTCCAAATTTCGCACGTACGATGTGAGCGCTACGGTACCGTGGCCGAGAGTTCGTTCAGCCAGTAGTCTGAAGTTTGTCGAAGTCAAGAATTAGCATTACACCAATAATCAGCGAATATACAGTACGCTTCGACATAGGCGTGGGCTGTTGATCCGTAGTGTGGATGTTCACGAATCACGGTTACCAATCATGTGCCGCAGCAGTTCTCCATTTACCGTGGACAAGGCAACGATCGACCAGGGTCCATTGCGGCCATTTGCGGGTGGTATCGCAGACGTCGATAGAATATTCGCCAGTGCCTACAGCATTTCTACCGCCGTAGACATATATGCACTAGTTAACGATACAAGCTGATGGAGGCACCTCTGTTGTTGCAGCGGGTGAATATCCTCCCAAATTTTACTTCCAGTGTTAACACGTGTACGACGTGTTGTACAGTGGGCTGTTATAATTTTCTTCCTTCGAAGTTTCGGTGCGTAAGCGTATTTTTTGCCACGAATATTTACATATTCGCCACTGATATATCTATCAGGAACATCAGGATGGTAAATCATTACATATCCGTCGGAAATATTTTCACCAATAATGTAAATAAACCCGGCACGGCAGTCGTACCATACCAATCCTGGAATTTTGGAAATCGTCAGTTTTTCAACGTAATTCTCAAGCCGATGAAACTGTAAATTTTTTCATATGCACATTCTTCCATACATTTTTTCCATTAATTTTTTCATATAATTTCTCAAATTTTTCTTACATTTTTCATATACAATTTTTCCATATCGCAGCCACTTGAAAATTAAATTAGTTCAGGTTATGTCTCAACGATCTTTCATCATATTCGACGGCAAATTTTGGATCAATAAGAAAATCGCTAAAAGCAAAGCGTTACCAGTAACAAATGTATTTATTGGAATATTTTTTAGTTGATGTGGTTGATCTGACTTCACGATGTGTGTTGATTCAATGACAAAAATATTTATACTGTAAGTGTACTATGTTGTTTTCCAGTTTAAAGACGTGCGTATTATTACCGCGGGCAAAACATGATTCCGCCATGAAATACGCCTGACAGTCTGCTGGAAACTAGGTAAACGTCGCTAATGACACCGTAAAAACTGCAATGCATAATATAAATACCGGCACATTTGTTATACTTGTATAATTCTAACAGCAAGGATAGTTCTAGCACTCCGATAGTGGAATATTAGTTAGTGGATTTGATATTAACATCTTAATACGATGCTGCATTGCAAAGCATGGAAGTGTCTGACTTGGCTGGTGTGTTTTGTCTTACTGGAAACAGACTTTTCCGTCGGCAAACCTTGGTCATCAGGTAGCACCGTAAAGTGTGAAGTACTGTACTAACGCTATAGGTTTGTGTGTCGGCAGTTAAGCATTTCCCCGGACCTTTGGTCCATCCCCTTCTAGCACGAATTTCTTGCGGTTTTTGCAGATGGCCTCCGCTGCCCAAATGGAATGTATTTGAACGCTAGCAACGCTTGCGTGAATTGTGACTGTAACCTTCACGGAACACAGTATTACTCCAACGAATTGCCAGCACCATCGTGTAAAGCGATCACAGGACAGTGTCAATGCGGTCCCAATGTCCTGGGACGCACTTGCGATCGCTGCAAACCGGGAACGTACGACTTGAATGCGCACGGTTGTACGGATTGTTGGTGCGTTACAGAGGGCGCTGGCAGCGGTATTTGCAATGAAGTGACCGGCTACTGCAAATGCAAGAACGACAACATTGCTGGTCAATACTGCGATGCATGTCGCGTTGGCTTCTGTAATTATCCGGTGTGTGAACCGTGTGAGAATGTCATCGGCCCGGCGATTTCTAAGATTCCCACCACCATCGTCAACGCAACACTGGACATTCTGCGTGCTTTTTCGTTCTACATTAGACCGTATTGACGTGGTGCAACTGGTTTAGCCTGTGAACTGTCTATACGTCTGTGGAACGAGCATTCATCGTGTTTTGCACTTTTACTCCATTAGTATTACGTACACTGAGTTTTTAATCTGCTTTTTTTTAGTTGGGCAAACTTTTCGCTTGAAACAGACTTCTTTGTGGCGGTGCACATTAAGAAGTGTCCGTTTCAATATTAAGTCATTTTGATAAATCACTTCAAATACGGGGATTCTTTCAATAATACAATGAAATGCCAATGAAAACAATGAAGTGGAGAAGATTATTTGTGTCATTTTATGTGGCAGAATAACCACTATAAAGGTCTGTAGTTGCACTAACCGTAAGTACTGAACAAATTTTGTCTTGTATCTCTTGAAAACTGTCTACATGCTGAATCTGCATTCCAGCACGATGCTGCATTGCAGGGCTTTGGGAAATCTGCGATGGTTGATGTCTTTATTTTTTTCTGGGAACGAAATTCTCCATCGGTGAACCATCCGGTAATGAAGTCGTTGTGGTACTGCGTAGTGCTAACACTTGATACTTACGCACAAAGCGAAATCAGCATAAAATCTATGCCATGTCCAATTTAGTCCATCCTTGTTGCCGCTGTTTATGCACGGTTTATTTTTTGAATAGATACAAATAACAGTCAGTGCTCATACGGGGTGTACATGAACGGTATCATGGGAATACCGGACAATGCCAGTGCAAACGAAACGTGCAGTGTCGCAGGAGGTACAAGTGATCCCTATATGACAGATTACCTTTCGCGGAAAAAACAGGTGCCGCATCGCAGTGATTGGCGGTATTATAGCAAGCATTAAATGGTTAGGGTGATCTGGACCCGGCTGCGGCACGGAAGAAAAACCTTTCAGGTTTTTTTCGCATTTATTCCTGATCAGTCTACGCTCCTAAGGGTGACTTCCGTAGGACACGCTCTGTTGGTGTTTTGTTTAGGCATATCTCTGATATGATTGTAGAACACAAATCCGCAAGCGTTATGATCGGCAGTCGGAACACATTATTTAGTAAAGTGTAAAGCTAGTCGCTTGTTATCTAATCGCTAAATGCCGCTAAGTATTTAACTGATTTTATTCACGGTTGTACGTTCAAGAAATCGACGCCATGCTGAACTGGAGATACTGTAGTAATAAGGGTTTTCCAATTCAAAATTGTACAGGCTGCAGAGCTTTCCACAATTTTTATCAATAAAATTTACAAAATGGATCCTGGATCCCCTGAATCAGAAGAGCGCGTAATTCATACTTTTGGCAGTAATTGCCAGTACCGGTACTTTCACAATGCTTTTATAGGAACAGGAAAATTTGGAACTGTGTTTAAGGGTATCGTTACGGAACGCGGTGATTATAGAGGAGAAATTAATGTGGCTGTTAAAGCCGTTCATCTCGATTCCAACTGGGACATTGTAACGAATGCAACATATTGGGAAAAAATGCTCGCCAAGTTAAGAAAACTTTCTCAATTACTGCACCCACATCTTGTGCGCTATCACCAAATCAGCATTAAAACAGCCGGAGGTGGAATAAAAATGGAATGATGATGGAGCGATGCAACCGTGAGTTGACATTATGTAGAAATTTGGTGCAGAAACCTAAGAAACGCTAAGAATAAGCTATAAATTGAAAAAATCCACAACAAACGCCTAAGTAACCTAAGAAATAAGGAAGACCGCGAAAGTAAGAAACCTACGTAGGAACTAAGAATCCGAAGAAAAAAGGTGGTTCAAGGCTCAATCCCAAGTCAAACATTCAAGTTGAACTAAGTGAAGACGAACGGCAGTCAAAATTTTTTAGTTAAGGACAAGGTGAATTTCCGCCCGAAAAGTCCATCCTTAATTACACAGAAACCGATAAAGAATTCATTTTTCTATCCGCCGATGTAATTATAGTCATTTGCCAAAAATCGTGTGAAACCGTATTGGACATGAATGGGAGACTAAACGCTGTTCGTATGCACATTCGAATGCACACTTTGCAGTGTTTACCGTTTTCTTAAGCAAAAGCCTCTTGCAGGTGACCTGACAAAAGCCTCTTGCAGGTGACCTGGCATCTCTTTTAAAGCAAATTCGGGAAGGAGCAGAACGCGCTGTGAACAACTACAAAGTCGTTGCCCGATACATTAAAGACATCACAGTGGGAGTAGATTTCTTGCATCGTCAGGAAATCATACACGGGGATTTGAAACCGGGAAACATCCTCGTAAAATGTCTGCCAGGAGGCGACACAATGCTGCTCATCGGCGATTTGGACGATCTAGTGCTCATGGAAGGTAGCATGACGTGTTCCGGGGACATTTCCCCGTTGCGTGGAACTGTGCGCTACATGTCACCAGAGATGCTGAAAAAATTCATCGGTCAGTGTGGAACAGAAAATCCAGGACGCAAAACGGATATCTGGAGTTTAGGCTGCATCATGCTGGAGATCGCTGAATGCTTTCTAGGCATAAAGACTGCTGAAAAAATGCTGAAAAACACAAAACAACAGGTCAGTTTAGCAAATAATGCGAAAAATCAGTTTGCGGCGTTAATAATGGATGGCTATGTTCCGGTTGTGGATGATAAGATCCCACATAATTTAGCATCCTGTATTAGGCAGTGCCTACAGTCGAATCCCAATGAAAGATTGTCGTCCGCAGCGCTGTTGCACAAAATCTCAGTTACTGGAGCCACTGAATCAGAAATCATGGCAACGATTGGAAATGCCACCCTTGAAGTTGTTGTAATGAAATGGGATGGAATGTCGAACATTGTTAAAGTGGTAACGTTGGACTCAGCGACAGAACGAATTCGAATTCTTGAGATGCCGGTATACTTCAAGGTAAAATTTTGTTTTTCCCGGCTAACGATTTTGACTGGAGAACTAGGATTTCGATGCCCTGATGATGAACACAGAATTTATCTCTGGAATGTCTTGGAAGGCACGTGGCGTTTCTTCCGTCTACCTACATGCAACGGATCCGCATACTGTCGCAGTATGGTTGTGTCTGGAACCACGGCTTACTATTTCGACCGTTTTACTGAACTGTTTCAAGCGAAAAACATAATGTGGAACGCCAATACAAAATCATATGAAACGGTCCTACGATATGTGAGGCAACCTCCATTTAAAAGGTGAGCAAGGGGTAAATGTGCTCGGTGTCGTAATTAGTAATCTGAATAGAGTGGATTTTCCTCCGAACTTTTTATTTTCGCTTTCCAAAGGCATTTTAGAAGACGATTCGTAACAAGTTTCGTTCTAGCTTCTTTGTAGTGAAGCATCGATTTCGTTACAGACCATGGTGTGTGTGGAAAGCCGTGGCTGAGTTCGAAGGAAGGATACTCTGTGCATGCTCTGAAGAAAGCAAGAGTAAGATCCAGCTGCATCGTTATGATCCGATAGCGGATGCCTGGAAATTTTTAGCGAGACTTCCAAAACTTGGGTTCCAGTTTGGTGTGGCTGTCATGGACAGGTATATTTACACACTTGGTGGAAGTTTCCCGGATGAGAAAGCCGTTTATGCTACAACTGGCCACTGCATACGCTTCAACACTAGAACTAACAATTGGGAGGATATTCAACCACTGCAACACCCACGAAGCGGACATTCAGCTGTCGTTGTCAACGAACGCATATATGTATGCGGCGGCGAAAATGCGAAAGGTGAAACCGAATATTACATCGAAGTTTATGATACCACGCGCGACGGACCCTGGTCGGCCGTTGCGTTATCCGCACAAGATGAAGAACTGCTACAGAATAAATTCGGAAAAGAATACTGATCTCAAATACTGGACCAATAACCGCTCCCATCTCGAACGACTATGTATTGTCAACACGCCGGCAGAGTTTTGTACCGGCCGATTGTTTAAGGTGCTGGCGAACCCAAAAACAGAATCAGTTAAAATGATGCATAAGATGTGTTGTTCAGGCACTGCGCATGTTTTGTTTTTCGTTTGTACGGCCCGTCCGAAAGCAAGCGCACAGGGTACAGGGATGATTCGCAGGCACGAGTCGATAAGATGTGCATGTACGTACAAGGGCTTCTCGTACAATTTTCCCCGTTTACACTTTACCTCTTGTTTCCGTTCAGATAGCCCATTACATCCTTTACGTACTACGTGAACCTGATCGCCGATGTATTTCACTTCCTGAAGGTACTAGTACAAAAATTCCATAATTATTGTTTTATAATTTTTTTACCGTAAATTTTGGCACATAAATGTGTAATGCACAAGTACACCGCACTAACATTTGACAAAAAAACAAAATTTTTTAATTACAAGCTCGGAGCAAGGTGCGTTAAACGCAATCCAACCTGATAGGGAATCAGCAGTTTGTTTTGAAACGGAATGTGATGCTTCTTGAACTTTGAAGTATCTTGAAATATTAATTTTACAATCTGCACATTTATGGGTAAAGCTCGAATGTAACTTTTCACAAATTTGTAGGTAATTTTATCGTCGTTTAACGTTGTGTATCGTAGCTCACCAACACTGCAGGTTACTACTGTAATTATAAGTGATGTTTGTCAGGAAATTTATACACATCAGCGATCCTAACTAAGCACGTAGTACAAGTTAAAGTTCCCAGCAATTGCTTTATAAAAATAGGCATAATGGTATTAAGGCATGGCTCGTGCGTTCAAGTACCTACAGGCTACAGTATCCATCCCATACGAAACGTTGCACGTGTATAGTTCCATTCAATCAGTCACAATAATTATTAGGTATTTGATACGGGCGTACGTTGTACGTGTGATGTGATGTACTCGTGTTTAAAATCTATATTTGCCGGTACATTTGTAAATGCGTGTTTCCTTGCGCGAAATCTCTCCAGCCACTGTTCCCCTACAAACCACTTAACACATTTCCAGAATCATGTCTCTGTGCAATAATCTAGAGCATTTCAAGGGAACGAGGACTCTTCATTGCCGATTAGTTAGGAGACGTGCTCGGCGATGTACATTCACCGGAAGCTGCAGAGTTTGTTCCGCCGCAGCCGCAGTACACATTCGGCAATTCCCGGTATGCTCCGGCTCGGCCATTTAGTTAACATCGCAGGCAGAGCATATACATACTTCTGTATCTGTAAAATATTGCATCAAACGGCACTTCATCTGCCTAAAGTCGCCTTCCTCAAAACTGGAACTAAATACGAGTAACTGCATTTGTCTCCGCTTGTTAAACAGCTGCATTTCTTTATGAACTTGCCTGCCAACTTGCTACCGTAAATGTCTTAACACACTGCGATAATATCGCCCTTATTGCCTTTCTCCGGCGATCTATCCAATCGGTCGCTGAGCGTTTGTAGCCGGCAGACATGTTGGCCTGTTGAATGTTGGCGAGCCCGGCAGGAAAGTGGTTTTTCTCCCATAGATCTGCCGAAATGCGCCCACACTTCTGCCGACTCACAAACGATACGGCAACTGCAATTCAGGGATTGTTATTGAAGGAAATTAGACTGTACGGCGGTAACTGTGCCAGAAAAGTGCAAAAACAGCGGTATATGAGAGCAACAAGTGGAGCGGTATATCAGATAACAGCATGTACGGGCATGTAGCTAATATTTCGGTGTATTATATTCCGAGCTTTATTGCAGACCAGATGATGATTATGAAGAAACATTCTCCGATGAATGTGCCCTGCAGCGGCAAGTTTGCCCTCCACACAGCCTCTCTCCGTCTGGGCAATTTTCTCTTATCTTGTCTGTCGCCATCACCGGAAGATTATAAAAAAAAACCAGTATATATGGAACGTTTCGTACCTATCTGTAGACAGCCTGTAGGCTGTAGATACGCTGTAGACAACGTGTAAACACCCTGTAGACTTCCAAAAAAGCCAAAGAAACCTGGAGACTACAGTGTGTCTAGAATAACCTCCGCCACTGTCGATAGTGGTGTCTACACGCAAATTTGTACGAGTACAATAATCATCCTAAATATACAAGGATTCAAATATCCAAAAATAGTAGCAGCGTAGTTTCAGTTGGTTTTACCAAGGAATCGCGAACTGTGACAAAATGGGTTAGCAAGTGACGAACAGCTATCGAACCGCAATCTGCGGCAAAATAGCTGACCAGCTACCTTGCCGTTCGAACTGCGGCAAAATAGCCTATGGCTACTGAGCCGCAGTGTGCGGCAAAATAGCCAACCAGCTATAGTGCCGCACATTGTTCTTACTGCGGCAAAATAGCCTTAGCCATAAAATAATGTTATAAATACCGCGCACATCCCTTACCTCTGAGAAAGTAAAGAGGAGACTCTTCTTCGCCACAGCCAACTGCCGCTCCACAATGGAGAATTTGTCAGCAAAATCCTTCCACAATCCAACTAGCTTCTCGTCGGTGTTCTGTCGCTTGGAAGAACTACTGATGATATGTCGCATCGTGGTGGCTAGCAAAGCCCAGTCTTTCTTTAGGAAGGCTTTAAATTTTAAAAAAATAAAAAATTGACAAGCAGCAGTTGATCAAATCAGGCGTGAAGCTCTTGTGCGATTGCTGAAAATGGACGATTATGCAAAACAAATCAAGATACCGGTCATGATACGCACTGAAGAATACTTCACAAATTTAAAATAAAAAAAAATTATATTTTAACTGTAATTACAATCTATTTTTCAGCTAATTTGAAATTATTCTGAAAATAACCGTGAAAACTAATGCTCTATTTGCACCTGGGCTCTCGATTAAAAACCACGTTCTGCTGGAGGGAAAACGTTCGCGTGAAGAGATCCACAAAGACGGCGCGCAGCATTTCCATGGGTTTATACCCGCCCAGGAGATCCGTCAGTTCCGCCTGCTGGCTCAAATTAATCACGTGCAGCTTCCGATCTGCTTTAACAAAAATCAGCGCTGAGACATCGAAAATTAAAAGAAATAAAATTTGAAAGTTGGAATTCGAAAAAAATAAAGACAGTTTTTTACAACTTAAAATATTCTGGAAAGCAGCCGCATTTTTTAGAAATGTCATGAAAAATGGCAAAAAATTCTTCGTTGAATTTACAACTGTTCTGGAACATAAGGGTGCTTTTGAAAAGTATCCTGAAAAAAAAAACTGCACATTGGCACGGGCTTACCGAGTTTTTGTCCGCGAGATACTGCACACCGGTCCCGGTCTCCCCGACCAGCAGCATGGCCTAGTTGTGCGCCACACCCATACATAAACTCTCCAGTAAGCGGCACGCCGACGGATGCAGCGAGAACACCGGTCGACTGTTGAGAAAAACCGTTTCCGTGCTCGACTGTTCTTCCTTCAGTGTAGCCTTCGCCAGCGGAACTCGTCCAGCACGAATACCACTGGTGCTGTTGTCAACCACCACCGGCTGTCGTTTGCCGAAATTGTAGTCCACCTGCTCATCAAAAAATAAGAAAACAAATACTTATTTGAAAAAACCGACAATAGATATAAAAACAATTTAAAAAGTCAAACAATCGAAAAAAATATTTAAACAAATATAAAAAAATTTAAATATTATCGCATTAGAAGAACAGTTTTTGCTTCGGTAGCGTCGCCGACGCACATCGGTGGGCGGTAATCCCAGAAAGACACCCAACTGCTGCGCCAAGGCCAGACGCTCCTCTTTTCCAGGAATAAAGTCCACGAAACAATCATAGACGTCTTGCAGAAGAATTTCCGCTTCGGCGCGGGAATTGGACTTTAAAACAGGAGGAGATTGGTCGACAGGTTTTCAAGAAATCTCTGCAATTAAACCTTAAACTTCAGAAAATATTTATTACAAACCTTGAAATATTCATTAGCAAGTCATGCAGGAAAAAATATAATACAATTATAAAATTATTATCAACAAATAATCAGAATACAACATAACCAGGGCCGTAGCGAGGTCCGTTGGAAGGGGTAGGCGCAATTTGGCTGCGCCATTTGCGCCCGCTTCGACGGTCGGTCAGCGCCCACTGCGCTCATAAATTTCGAAGCCTGCGCCCGTTTCGCCCGTATAAACAGGCCGCGCTTTAATACTTTAATTAATATAAATAGTTTAATTATTGTAAGTCTTGATCACCATACATCAGACCAAGTCACATCAGGGCAAAGTCCACTCTGCGCCACGGGCGCACGGCCAGTGGCGCCCGCTGCGCCCTTTGAAAAATCCAAAAATTTTGCGCCCGTGCGCCTGTACGCCAGTTTTGGGCGCAAATTTAATTCAGAAGTTGGCCGAGGAGGGGTAGGCGCGCGCCAGTGCGCCTATACCCTCGCTACGGCCCTGAACATAACTAGTTAAAGAAACAGTATAAGTTCCTTTCGGACGATGAAAAGTAAATACAATGAATAATGCAAAAACTAATACTAGGAGCAAACGAAATAAAAACAATATAAAGTCAGAGTAAAATAATAAAATTTTTTTTATACTGGCGGTGTGGCGGATAATTATCGCAGATTAAGATTTCCAACCTGAGCGAGATGAGGCGATGAGCAACACAGCGCCGCGCATCCACATCCATGATTTCCGCGGCATTCGTCACCGTGCCGAAGATGCGCAGCAGTTCCGGAAGGAAAAGGTCTGCATGGACGGGGACGGAAGCAACCGGCGACTGATCTAAAAATAGCCAAAATTGTCTTGCGAAATATTCCTTATCAAAAAGAATAACCACCATCAGAATTTCATCCACGGGAAGCCTCTCCAGATAAATCCGCTTGAAAGCGGCTGCACAAGCTCGGATGGACGTGCGACTGCTGGATGGACGGCCGTCGTGCGTTCTGCGCCAGCAAAGAAAAATCAACAAATAAAAAATCAACCCAATAAAATGGAATAACAATTGAAAAGCATAAAATAACGTTAAGTGGCGAAATATAAGTATTCGAAACCCGTCGCCGGCCGGTATCATCGAACCGATCTCCGGGATATTCAGGCTGCCGGTCTGGATGAGCGGCAGTAAGACCGACACGACATCCATCGGCGCGCTGTCCAAATCAATTCAAAGAGTACGGTATGTTTATTTTCTAAAAGACAAAGCTAGTGTGAAATGAATTTAATAAACTGAAGATGCGCGTACGTAACAGTCCGATAAATAATATGTACGTTGTTTGAGAATGTATACATACACACGTAATCCGTATATCATTAGTATTCGTTACTGTGGTTATTTTCATTTCGCATGCCATTGCTACAACAATACAGTAATAAACGTTGCGGTTATTTGGCATATTTGCACGTACCGTAATACTGGTGGAGGTCAATTACATTTGGGTAACCGTTGCGCGTCGGGTAACGGGCAAACGCGTAAAAAACGTGACGTAACAGCGCGTAAGCAAGTAAGCATTCTGATTCGTGATCACAAAATCTGGGATGGGTTTTAGCTTACTTGTCCGCGTAAGCGTTGCATGACGTCGAAGCGCAACCGTTACCCAAACTACGAGTAACTCGCGCCTCTCCTGCACAGATCGACAAAATTTTTGTTTGTTTGAACTATAAGTGCATCCAGCGACCCAGATTCACACTCCAAAATTCATAATTAACTTTTTTGACGTAATACCACATTTACCACATTACAGCATTAAAAATGAGTTTTTCTGTTCCGCTGCGGTGTTCAATTTCTTTCTTGGCACGGAAGCGTACTCGACTTACGATTGGACGATTGGGTTTTTGCTGAGTCATGGCTAATTTTTTACGCGTCTCTCCATTACCCGACGCGCAGCGGTTACCCAAATGTAATTGACCTCCACCACTGATAACGTACCCACCACTGCGCAGCTGTATATGCGTCCCGAAATTGAGCGGGTAAATAAGGAGACGGTAGGCAAGCAATACAGATTCGATTTATGCACATGTAGCGCGCATGTAAGTACTTCTATCTATAATCTATATGCACTTTGGTAATTACAATTCATAATAAAATTTAAATAGTGTTATACCAAATACATGGTGGACAAAATGAATAGTGGACAAAATGAATGGTGGACAAAACGAATGGTGGACAAAATAATAGGATGCCATCTGAATTGACATATGAATGGGATATAAAAGTGTGCAGTTGATTGTCGGATGTCTTGCGTTTCCGCATAGCTCGCAGTATACAACACTGCTCACTACGCAGGATCTTGTCCGTCTGGATCACTGCCCTGAGCTCATCCCGAGTCCCACATAATAGCATGAAGGATTCGCAGCAGAGAAAATGAAATTCAGATCACATGTGACATGACGCACCAGATCTGGCGCACCGTCAGTCGCTGCAACCTGCACAGCAATTTGTCTCACTTTGTCACGCATCACGACAGTGTTAGTTGCTACCGCCACTGGGCCGGCCACTACATTGATTGGCCGCGGCCGCCAACTGCAAACTTTGCAGTGGCCAGTGGCAAAACGCGTTTGAACATGTTCTCAGTCCACCACAGTTGAATGTGAAAATCGCAGTGTTGAATTATCCTCATACCATACGTGCCAGATCACCGCATTTTCCTTCAGATTCCGCTGTTTTTGCACACTGCACACTACTGTGACACTAGTGTACAGCCAGCAGCATCGTATCGACTATCGAGTGAGTCGTACTGTACTCATCGTGCTATCACCTATCGTCAGCGCACAGTCTGCCACGGCCCAGACTGAACTGGCAGCCCCGGTCCACAAAGCCCGGCAGGAAATCGACGCAGCACAGATGGCCGGCGGCGGGGAAGGGGAGGACATGCTGCGTGTACGCCAGACCGTCCGTGCGGGCGAAGAAGCTCTGTCCATCATCCAGCCGGGGCAGGCGTGCCACGAACAGGCTGCTTTCCACGAAGATGCGCTCCTCCGGCTGTGTACCATCCAGACACACCACCAGAATCTCTCCCCATAGCGCCACGACGCTGGCAGGACGGAATACTGCACACTGCTGTTGTCTCGCATGTTTTGCTACATTTTCAGCGGGTTAACCGTCTCCGTTACTTCACAGCACCATGAACGCAACACCACGCTTCATCTACGAGATGCCATCGGCTGCTGGGGAAACCAGCTACGACAACACGGTGCTGGTGCAGCGCGACGGTGGCCATTGGTTCCTGGGCGACGTGCACGACGTCCGCGGTCCGGATTTGCTCGTTGACTTCCACGCCAGTACCCTGGCGGCCGAGTGGATAGCACTGGATACATTCCAGCCGCGTCTGGCCGCATCACTCCCGCTACCATTCTCTGCAGCCGTACGTCCATACCGTCGTGCAGGTGGCGCTGCGGGACTGCCCGGGTGGGCCGCTGGGCGAGCGTCTGGTCGGTGAGCCGCCTTATCGGCGGGTGCATGGTGGTGCGACGCCGTTCTACACCCTTCCCGCCTTCCCGGGACTCGTTGCGGGGGTGGAGGAGCTGGAGATTTCTCAAGGAGTCGACGTTGCGGTGCGCGTGCATATTCCCGCGGGAACGACACGTCTGTCTGCAGCTGTCGCTGACGTTCGTCTGTCTGCAGCTGGATAATGCGGCCGCCGGGCGCCGGATGTTCTGGAATGAGGAGGCGCTCCAGACGGCCTGCGACGCGTATCTCCGCAAGCATTCAGTGGATGCCATCGACGCCTTACCACGACAGCTGGAATACGGTCAGTTACTGCGTGGTCTGATTTGAAGGTAATTATGTATTGCAACCTGTTAGAGAAATATAATCAGTTGTGGGGTATTTATTTATTTGGCACTACATAGCCCCGTTCTCATAACGACCGTTTAGTGTTATACAAAATCGTGGGTCGCGCATTAAGTGCTCTCGAAGTACCAGCAGTAGTTCCTCTAGCAACCGCCAGAGTATATCCTTCTCCAAACTAAATAAACTTGATAAACGCAGTAGAACGATATTATCAGTTCTAACCATAAAGCCTGTAAGTTTTGTGTGTTTTATATCTTTGATGCGCACATACAAAGATTTTTTTCTCTTATGAAGATGTGTAGCACAACCATTTTGGCTGAGTAGTAAACGGCGTCCCGCAGAGGGATTTTGGACTCTAGTTCCCTGCTGGACTTCCGGACTGCAGTTACTGACGTCACAATAAGTAAATAAATTCCGCAAAAAAATTAAAACTAAAAATATACTTTGTGTTAATAATTTACAAACATATTACCATAGTTACTGATTAAATCGTTAATTGTTGACTGTATTTAAATATTTACTCCTAGTTTTCTATAGTGTAAGGAATCCCTTGACCATTTACTGTACTGTATTATTATTTGATTTATGTACGGGGATGGTATAAAGAAGGTGAAAGCATTTAATAACTAAAGCAGTTTAGACGAATAAAACGATTACGTTATTCAGAATTGTTATATAGTTTTTAAGCACAACAGCAAAATGACAACCAGTAAGTAATAGCTTGTTAGTCATCGTCCGAGGTGCTCATTTCCGAATCGCTTTCTCCCACGTCATCCACGCGCGGGTCATCACGGACTTCCGGATGGTCACCTGACAAAATGAAATAAAACCACAATATTTTAGGAAAATGAATACAAATAGATAAGCTGATCATACCATGCAGCGCGTTCTTAGCCAGGTTCATGGCAATATCCAGTTTGTTCAAAGCAGCGGTGACATCACGTCCGTTCTCAGACTGGGTCAGGTATCGGTCAGCGATGAGAGTGCTAACAGTGGACATTTCTTGGACAATGGGAAGAAACGCTTCCTGGGCTAAAAGAAACTGTGAAATAAAACTTAATACAAGCTAAAATACCTACACTTACCAATGGTCATCTTCTCAATGTTTAGCTTTGATTTGAGATGTTCAAAGCCGTTTATCAGGGAGAGGCAGTGTTCCTTAATTCTGTCGTTATACATTGATACAGTGTTTGACAGCTCAGTCAGTTGTTTCCACAAGGATTTGTACGCCTTGGTTCTGGCCTTAAGCTCACTTTCCGACAGCTGAGCGGTAGGCACAAGTTCACTGGTCGTTCCAATGTGAGTTCGTGAATTTTTCTCTAGCAGTTTCGTTTCGTCTTGTTTCTTTTTGTTGTCAGCAATGATGCGTGTAATTTTCTGCGAGTTATGTGGTGGGTAATTTGATATTTCATCGATCCAGTAGCCCTCATCAGGCGATGGCATACTGTCTGGCGGACAGGAAGCCAAAAGAGTTGCAATGCTTTCCATGTGATACTTTTCCATTGCTTGTGCAACGTCCAACAGCTTCTTCAGTATTACAATAATAGCAGTGAACATTGCTTTCTGATGGTGGTGAATGTACGCGAGGTCGAGAGCGCTCTTCTGGAACTTGCGCACCAGTTTACCCTGTAAGTAAATGCAATTGATAATTAGGTTACTGCATAAAAACATTTCTTACCGTCTTAGTGCGCCACTCGTCGGACTGGATGTTCAAGTATTTAGTGGTGTCCACCGCCAGCCTGTTTCTATACTTGATGTTGTAGACATTGCTATGGCTGGCAAAATCCACAAAATATTGTGGCAGTTTCGTAGCGGGTTTTTTGGAATCCCTAAAAAAGAAGCAGACGTTAATACATACTGCCATTTCTTTTCAACTTTTACTTAGGACTTAAAACTGACAACTACAACAGTGGGTGAAACTTACAGAATTATTATGATTAAATAACGAATACATAATCGCTGCGCTTGCCAACTGCTTACGTTATTGTACATGTTCATTTAAACAGAATTACTCATAATTGTGCAACACTTCGTTTTGTTTTGTTAGGGTATCATTTGGAGCATTTATCGTTTACGTGCGTTTGTTGTTTAGCACGTAAACGACAATTGCTCCAAAAAATTCAACCCTTGTTTTTCGGATAATTAACGGGGCAGAGAGTAGTCTTAAGTTAAAATTTGCGGTCAAATTTTTTCGTTTAATTCAAAGGTTATTTTTGGGAACATCTATCCTTTGCACGCATTTGTTGTCAGCGCGCAAACGACAGCTGCTCCATAAAATACAGTCCTGTTCTTCCGGCTAATTAGGGTATCTGGAATCGGCCAGTAGAAAGTAATAACAAGTAAAAATTAGCCGTCACAGCTTTATCTACTCGGTTGCCTAGAAAATAAATGTCTTTCTACGACAAACGGAGAAGAATCAGCAGTGAAGGTAATCACACAGCAAACATCGCACTGACATTTATGACTTGACTTGGTTAATTTCACATGTGTTTATATAAGCGCTCTCACACGCAAAATAGTTTACCGAGAAAGATAATGTTGTGAAACAAATTGCTGTGCAGGAAAATGCATGCACAGTATTTTGTTAATATAAACAGTTATAATCAGATGCGTTCACGCAGTTCAAAAAAATACGTGCAAGCATTGTAACCAAACTCCTGGATTTATTGTAATGCTCAATCATGAACAGCCGGACGCTTCCAACGACTCCGGTAAGTGAGACAGATGTGAATTAAGTAACACTGCAAGTCACCCGCACCTTAAATTATAGGATACGCTACGGATTCGGACAGTTCCTTCAGCTCCTATGAAACAGAAGAAGAAATTGGTAACTTTGTAAAAATCCTGGAAAAAAAACAATATTCCATATATGTATCATTTTCAGACGATTGCGATTGTACCGCGGAGCAACGCGGTGTCAATGGAGAGTGTCGAATCACCAGCTAAGGAAAATGGAAAAGAAATCCAAAAAGCAACTCGAGCAAAATCTATTTGAGAAGTTGGCAAAGTTCCTGATAAACTTCCTCAATGTGTTCGAATTTTTTTAAACCAAGTATATTACATTTTCCACTATTAAAGACTATGCATGTGGCTTTTTTCATCTTTATTGTCATGCCGGGAAAAATCTCTGGCTCGTAATATTTGTCACCAGTCGAATGTCCAATATTTTCAAGGTTTTGTCGTCGCAGCTGACATGAAGCAATAATATTAACGACCTTATAATTTGTTATTCGTGCTCCTTTGTAACCCGTAGCAATAAGCTTTCGCAAAAAGTATTTTGCACAGTTTCGTGACTCGCGTAGTGTGCGTCCACCATTAACAGTAATTTTTCCGTTGCGATATAATTGGCAGTGGAATTTTTTCGGATATAATACGCGCCACAAAAGACAAGAGAATTTTTTAGGATCGTATTCTGTGATAAGGTCTCTGTTCAAATTAAGCTGCTGCAAGTCGATTTGCACATTCAAGTGCGCAGTTGCGACGATATTAGTTATTTGCGCCATGTATCCAGAAGTTGGTTATGATCTCAGGTTCCAATGGCCTTTCGGAGCAATAATATGTGGGCCAACAATGAGTGGTAAAACACAATATGTTCTTAAAATGCTGAAAGGAAATGCAATGGACGTCGTCCCAACCAGAATAGTGGTAGCATACAGTCAATGGCAAAACTCGTACGAAGAAATTAAAAAGATTTTTCCACAAACAGAATTTGTTAAAGGATTAAAGGACGATTTACTAGATTCGGAGTTTTTTTCTAAAGCAGAAAATAATCTGCTGATTATAGATGATCTAGCGGGCGAAATGGCAAGCAGTGAGTTAGCCACAAAGCTATTTACGCAAGGAATACATCACAGAAATTTGTCAGCAATTTATATCACACAGAATTTATTCAAGCAAGGTAAAGCAAGTCGGGATATTGCCTTAAATACTCAATATATTGTGTTGTTTAAAAATGTTCGCGACAACAACCAACTGGATTATTTATCACGACAAACAGGATTTAAGCATCTAAAAAAAGCGTATAAAAAGATTACTGCTACTCCATTTGAACCTTTGATTTTGGATTTAAAACCAAATTGTCCCGATTATTTGCGTGTCAGATCTCATGTTGTGCAAGAAAACAAAACGGACTTACAAACAGCAAGAATTTACACCGACCCGAATTTCTGTGCAGTGCCGTCAGCATGACCAAACATTTGAAAGAATTTGCTTCTTTTTTACTGTTTCTCTCGTCGCTCAACCCCAAAGATCGCAGAGCTGTCGCGAATCATTGTAACAAAAAGCATATTAAAGGACTGGAAGAGTGCTGCTTGAATATCGTAAAAAATACCGTAAATTTATCACCAGAAAGTACGCGAATTTGCAGACGCTGGAAAAAGCCGATACGATTATTAGCTCTTCGACGGTATCCCACAAAAGCTAAAAAAGCGCTATTAACACAAAAAGGTGGTTTTCTGGGTGCAGTGCTGCCAGTTTTAGCAAGCGTTCTGGCCGGAGCGCTAAATTCCTAATTTAAGGTCATGGAAGTACATTATATTGTACCTGAGCGGGATATCAAGAAGCGAGCCGCCGAGCTGACAGTTTTACAGGCTCCACCTGAAGCGAACAACATTTTATCGCTTGGCGATTTGACATCAAAAATCCTTTCAAGTCAAAATTTAAGTGAATGGCAGAAAGCACAATTACTTAGTAAAAATTTAGAACGGTTCATGGCATTAAAGCCCAGAGCACTTCAAGAAGGTAATCCCTTGGATAGTCTGTCTGTAAGTGTAAACGACGCCACAACTCCGACTCCATCAATCTTAACCACACCGTTAACCGAACCCAAGAAAGCAAAAAGAAAAGAGTTCGCGCCACAACAGCATCGTCAAAATCACGCAGAAAAATCAAGAAAAAACCCTGACTGATATTGATTCGGATGATTCGGATGAATATGATCTCCCAGTGTTTTCATTACCGTCAAATGAAAAAGGGAAACGTGGTAAACGCGTACTGGAACAAACGCTAAACGAAACAAAAATATCGCCCGATAATAAATTCCAAGCTGTAAGCGCGGAAGAAGAGGTACCACGCCGGCGTGGCGAGCGGGTACGAGAGCAGACAAAGTTTTTTATAAAAGGGCAAGGTATTAAAGGCCGCTGGCTAAAGGTTCTTTAAAATGTCGGGTTGTGTGCCGGTAAATCTAAATTTTGGACAAGGGATGAAATTGAATTGTGTTTCTTCTTGCTGTTCTGATGACAGTGACGAAAATAAAATAGAAGATTCGTCTAAAGCTGGTGATAAAGCCAACGAGGTACCTAAAATTACTCAGCCTGTTTCCGATGGACCAGCACTATCTCAATCCTAGTGCACTGAGCAGCCTAGGGGGGCTCGAGCGGTTTCACAAGAACCTTCCAGAAAATGTTTCCAAGGAAAAAGCCAAAAATATTCTTGAAGGGATCGATGCCTACACTTTACATAAGCCTGTCAACCGAAAATTCCGCAGGAATCCGGTGGTCGTCCTAAATAAAAATAGCCAGCTCCAGGTAGATTTGATGGATATGCAAAAGTTCAAAAAGTGGAACAAAAATTATGGCTACGTGTTAGTTGCTATTGATTGTTTTTCTAAAAAAATAGAATGCGAGCTAATTAAGTGTAAAGATGGTTTATCAACGGCAAAAGCACTGGAAAAAATACTAGAACGCCTGGGTCCATTCGACAAAATACAGGCTGATAAAGGCCGTGAATTTTTCAATAAAAATGTGAGGGATTTACTCAAACGGAAAGAAATTATGCTATTCAGTTCGGAAAACGATGACATAAAATGTTCGATGGCGGAGCGCGTTATTCGAACGCTGCGTGAGCGCATATGGCGCTTATTTACTAGTCGAAAATCTCCAAAATATTACGATCGGCTACAAAATATTGTAAAGACATATAATCACACTCCTCACACTTCACATGGCTTTTGTCCTGCGGATGTAACTGAAGAAAATTCCCTGCTTGTGTTTAATCGATTATACGAGAAAACAGACCATAAAAAAAAGAAACCAGTATTTAAGGTGAAAGATGTCGTCAGAATTGCAAAAAAAAAGCAGGACTTTGAAAAGGGTTTTGAAACAAACTTTCAGGAGGAGCTTTTTCGAATAGCAAAGGTAATACCACATACACCGGAGCCAGTGTATCAGCTCGAGGATGAAAAAGAGGAACCAATAGTAGGAAAATTTTATGCAAGGGAGCTAACGCGGATTAGAAAATGAATAGCTTGCAATATCAACAGCCATTTTACATCACATTGCCGAGTGATGCTTGCACAGATATTTACTCGAATAACACTGCATCCAGTTGGAAAACCAAATTATGCAAAACAATTTCATTGTCTGGAAAATGGGAAGTTGCAATTGTCGAACTCTATTACCCAAATTCCATGTACAATCTCCCTACAGACCAGACCATGGATTGTTTGCAGGTTTACGATATTGTATCAAATTCGGATGCTAAAACAGGGTTGGAAAAGTTCCTATTTGAGAAAAAGCGCATTACTTTACACGCCGGTAATTATACCAACGAACAAATCATTGCAACAATTTCTTCGCAAATTCCGAAGCTCCTCTTGGCAAAAGGACAAGAATCCAAAAAGAGGAGAGCCTTTTCAATTGAATTACTAGCTAACAATCAAAAAGTGCAAATTGCAATTAATGCCAATACCGTTATTCTGGCTATTAACAATGAACTGCTGAAACGCATATTGGGGTGTCAGCATCGACAACTGTTTGCGTATTCTGATCCTGCAAATATTGTTGACCTTGCGCAAAATTTTGACGGTTTAAATCAGCTGGAGGAATTTTTCAAGGAAAAGAAAGCTCGACAACAAACAGTTGCGAAAGCAAATACAGTTTCAACGCCCCAACCGCCACCGCCGCCTGCGCAAACACCAGCGCCAAAGCCAGCAGCAACAGCTATATCTGCGAAAAAAACAGAATTACCGTCATCAAAAAATACCGAAGGAACCGGTTCAAAACAAAATACGTCCGTTTCAGAAAGCGTTCAACAACCGGAACGAAAAAAGTCAAAGCCGGCACCGATAATTATCCAAAATTTTTTGTTTACTGCCCAGGAAGCTATAAACGCCATGATCGGTAACCAATCTTTATATATTTATTGCGATGTTGCAGATTTTACTTTGCTTGGTGACACGTATGCGCAAGTTTTAAGAGCAGTGCCTATTAAGGCAACGGAGGCTTTCAAAATTATCACGGAACGTTTTGAAATGCCTCATTATGTTCCACTTTTACGACCCATTTTCGACAATATCGAAGTAACAATTGCCACTGATCTCGGAGACAACGCTAAATTCGCAACAGGAAAATCGATGGTGAAGCTCCATTTCCGACCGGCAAGATACTGAAAATGGGATATAAAGCTTTTTCGCCTGATCCAGGATTATTTGATGATTTACTGGGTCATACACAGCTGGGGAGCGGATTTGTTCGATATCGTGGAAGCTATCAAAACGGTGGAGGTTTTGGTAGTTTTCTGCGTGCAGTATTTTCCAAGGTTGCTCGTTTTGTTGCACCAGTTGTAAGGGCGGCAGCGCCGCAGGCACAAGCCGCATTAGCAGCTGCTACGCCTCACTTAAAAGAAGCAGCTAGTACAGCGGTACATGAAGCTGCAAAATCTGTGGGCAACAAAATCGCCCAAGTTCTCGCACCAACTCAACAAACATCTAGCGGCGGTAAAAAAGGAAGAAAAGGGGTATTAAAGAAGCCACCGAAGCGGAAACGCACTACCAAAATTCGCCGTGTCCCACCATTTGATCTTCCTGATTATATTTAGAAATGACTTCCATAATCGAAGGGTCAGAACCTGCCATTGCTGCAGAATCGCACATTTTTTGCCATACCGCCTTCGTTTGCGGACCGATTCCGGACAGAAGAAGAAAGAATCGGCCCCACAGCCGCCATTCCGGAAAATATTCCGGCGGGTGGTGACATAAACTTTTATATAGCTCCTTCATCAAACGCCATGGTTTCTT